GAGGGATGTCCCTCAGGGCGCAGAGCCTAGAGGGATGTCCCTCAGGGCGCAGAGCCTAGAGGGATGTCCCTCAGGGCGCAGAGCCTAGAGGGATGTCCCTCAGGGCGCAGAGCCTAGAGGGATGTCCCTCAGGGCGCAGAGCCTAGAGTGATGTCCCTCAGGGCGCAGAGCCTAGAGTGATGATATTCTCTAAATACAATGGTTAGGTGTATTCTTACTGGAATCTTGGTCTGGATTCCCACTACATGCTGTGGCCATTAAAGCCATTCCCCCTAAACATTGCCCCCATTAAAGCCACCACATGCTGTGGCCATTATTTGGGGGCACTCTCTGTCCCTTTCAAACCTTTAATTTATTTTACATAAGACACGGACCATTTTCCCCCCCTGAAAAGCTAAATGCAACCCACCAGTACCCATATCTGAGATATATGTCATGTGCGTACTGACCCTTTAAACGCACTGCTCAGAAACGTAAAAAAAAGTGTATATTTAGCTTACCGTCTAATATATGCAAACAGATATTTAAATGCTTCTTTCTGGAAATACGAAGAACTTTGGTTTACAGTTTCCTGGAAAAAAAGTCAACCTTCCCCCTTTATTACAGCTCCCCTTTTATCGTTCACGAATCCTTTAATATGGCTGCCAAGACACGCTATATTCTCCAGTGAAGGGGTCACGCCGACTCTGGCAGACCAGCTAATAAGGCTGGGAACAGAATCCCACAGGCGCTGCCACGATTCATAGGGCCGCTATAGGACGCACGTGTGGAGAGAACCCCGGCCAAGCTTTGTTTCCTACTAATAGCTTTTACATGTTTGACTCTGTACCCTTCTGCTGGTTCACATTTCATACATATTCCTTTTCAATGTGTTCTCAGAACTGCCCAGTGTGAGATGTATTTTACGACTGTGAGTGTCAAATGAATTAAACTTTTACCATGATCAGAAATAAATGCAATGGAGCAGGTGTTGTGGCTTAAAGGGACATCCCGCAATAAAACCTACAGGGGGGGGGGCTGAAATGCACCCGTCATGTCATTTTTGGGGGGTTAGTTCACACCATAGGTAGTGCGTTTCAGTCTGATTCTGGCCAGAACACACTGCATCGCATTGCGGCTGCAAGCACTATTTTGATCGCACTGGACCGCACTGCAGGCACAATGTGCCTTGCGATTCCGTGCGGGCGATCTGGCCAGAATTGGACTGGAACGCACTGCCTATGTTGTGAACTAACCCTAAAGGTAAACCCAATCAATAAAATATTTTGTTAGTCTTCTCCACAGTCAGTGGGAAAGTGAGAGATCCGGAATTACGAGTTATCACTAAAACATCCATTGACCTCCTGCTTTCCAGCTCCCTTGTCCACTCCTCCCATACTCGCCTCCAGGACTTCTCTAGATTCTCTCCCATCCTCTGGAACTCTTTACCCCAACCTGTCCGTCTATCTCCCACCTTGACTGCCTTTAGGCGTTCCCTAAAGACTCATCTCTTCAAGGAAGCCTATCCCACCCAACCTAACCACTGAACCTTCACATTCTCAAATAATTCATCCCCCCACACAGCTACCTCCTCATGTATCATTTCCCCCTCCTCTTTTAGATTGTAAGCCCTCAGGAATTGTATTGTAATGTCTTCCTTATATTGTAAAGCGCTGCACAAACTGTTGGCGCTATATAAATACTATGTAATAATAATAAAGCAAGAAGTGAGGGGAAATCTTCCAATGGCCATACTCGCTGTGGCAACAAACTGTTAAATGAGGATTTGTCCGCACTTTTGGGAGATTTTCAATCATGTCTGCTGTGCCCAAGGGACAGGTAATCTCTCCAATTGTACAAAATGGCACAAAAAAACCTGGTGGGACTTCCAACCATTACCTGTTGTATCTTACTTTGTAAAAAAAAGTAAAAAAAATTGACTTAAAGTATTTCACATAGAACTCTTATGTGCACCGTTTAGTTAGCCTGGTAGCAGCTGCAAGGGACGTCTGTCTTTAGTGAACAGCCCCCTCTTGTGTTTGATATTGGGAAAGACATGGTGGAATTTATCAAAATGATTCAACTCCCATTACAAATCGGGTTTATTGGCAAAAATTATGAACTTTCAGCTGTTTGCAATGAACAAATCAAACAAAAGCAATTGAAATAAGTCAACACAATGACTGTTTCATGTGGTTTCACCAAATTCAACTCTAAATACAACTTTTAATGAATTCTGCAGTCTAAAGGTGGCCATACACTCTACAACCATCGCAAGACTTTAGTCTTGCGATGGTTGTAAAGGGATTAAAAAAACGTACGATCTGCCTATCTTGGACAGGCAGATCGCACTCTCGATCATCGCAAGCCCGCCCCCCTGAGGGGCGGGCTTCCGATGACCGCAATGCTGAACGGGCAGTGTGCGCGTGCGCACACCGGCCCGTTCGGCATTTGTCTTCCGAGCACCGTTCTAACCAGCCGAGAATCGTACGATTCCCGGCTGGTTTTCGAACATGCTGGTTCGACAGAAGACGTGCGACCGTACAGTAGAAACGGTCGCACGTCTCCGTTCACACTGCTCGATTATCGTACGAAAAACCGATCGCATACGATTATCGTACGATAATCGTGCAGTGTATGGGCACCTTTAAGGTGCCCATACACCTTACAATTATCTGCAGATTTTCTGTGGTCAGATGGGAAAAGTGCAACAGATTGGCCCAGGCGGAGGTTACTCCACCCACACAGTTAAGTGTAGATGGAGGAATCTGTTGCACCTTTTCCATCTGACCACAGAAAATCTGCAGATAATTGTAAGGTGTATGGGCACCTTAAAGGTGCCCATATAGCTGCACCCGGTGTGCTGGAAGTAGAACACATGAAATACATGAACTGGACAGGGGTTTGTGGAGTGTCACCAATGGCTGCATGTTAGAAATATGGCTAAAGAACTGGCAAATATGGTGGTGAAATTGATAGGGTCAGAGGTAAAGGGACTGAAAGTAGCAGAGGTATGGGGGGGACATGTACAGTAGATGGCAGAGACAGTGGTGAGTGGAGTGACAGAAGTGAGACAGGTGAGGTGCATAAGTGGGTGACAGGAGCAGAGATGAGTTGAAGGGGGGGTGACAGGTGTGGGGGTGCTGGGCACATTGCCGGTTGGAGGATGGGGTAAGCTATCTCAGCAGCAGTCCCAGCCACCTCATTGGGCCCAAACTCTGGCCCTCTTGTGCAGAATGGAGCTTTGAGGAGGATAGCGTCTACTGCTCACCGGTACTGAATAAATAACATATAGATCCAGAGTCTATGGGATGGTGGATAGGTGGGATTCACGTGCACTGTTTGTATATCTGGCTCTCACCTATCCACCATTCCAAGGTCAATAACAGTGCCTGTAGGTGGGAGCCAGGTGCACTGTCAGTGTCAATGGAATGGCGGATGGGTGGGAGCCAGATGCACACACCATTTCAGTGACACTGACAGTAGGTGGGAGCCAGATGCACTGTCATTGTGGAAAGGTGCGTGTATCTGCTCCCACTTATCTGCCATTTTATTGACAGTGCACCTGGCTCCCACCTACAGGCAGTTAAAGGAGAACTATGGGGTTAAGTCTTTTCCCCATAGTTCTCCTTAGGGTAACGGGAGGACACAAACTAACGTCCTCCCGTCACCCTAGGCTCAGTATACCGCGAGCTGTAGCTCACAGTATACTGAGACGCCGCAGCCTAAGCGGATCCCGACAATTGTGCCGGGATCCGCCCAGCTCTGTGACTGACAGCTGGCTCTGCCTATCTAGAGGCAGAGCCAGCTGTACCCTCCTCCGTCCGTACCGCCAGTCAGCGCTGGCAGGTCGGAGCGGGGAATCCAGCCCCTCCGCCGTCAGGGCAGAGAGCCGTGACAGGATCGAGAGGTGAGCGAACCTGGTATGTGTTCGCTCACCTCCCGATCTACTGAGCCAACCTGTGACAGTCTCATTACAAAATGGAAAAAAAGGTCTCAGTCATGAAGGGGTTAATGTCTTTGAAATGTTGGATTGGCAAGAGCCAGGTGCACACACCTTTCTGGAGACGGTGCCTGTAGACGATAGCCAGGTGCACTGAGTGTCACTAGAAAGGCAGATAGGTGACAGTGCCTCTGAAAAGGTGTGTGCAACAGGCTCTCACCTATCCATCATGCCAATGCACCTGCCACCTACATGCACTGTCACTTGAATGGCGGACTGGTGAGAGCCAGGTGCACACACCATTCCAGAGACACTGACATTGCATCTGCTTGTAGGTGGCAGGTACACCCTTCCAGTGACACCAACAATGCACCTGTCTCTCACCTATATACCCCATCCAAGTGACACTGACAATACCTGTAGGTGGCAACCAGGTGCATTGTCAGTGTCACTGAGATGTTAGTGTCTCTGGCTGCCACCTGGCAAGGGACCTGGGTCCCTTGCTGGCCAGCCCAGACCCTCTAATAGCCTGTATCCTGGACTACAGCAAGCCTCCCTTACCTTGCTGCTGGCACCCCAATAAGGAAGGGCCCCTGGTGGCTGCACTCCCAGAAACCTTAGGCTGCCACCGTCCTCTTGCCCCCACTCCCACTTATCTGCCCCCTCCAGACAGCCAATCAATGGAGAGTGCAGCGTGCATTAGACACACATGCTGCTGTAGCAGACCTGCAGCCCAGCCCATTGTGTATTTCTGGAAATGACAAGACAACCAGATGATGATTCCGCTATTGCCGGGTCATTTCGGGCAAGTTCCCACCTCTGCAGCTGACAACCTAAAATGTGGGATTTTCATTCAGTGATAAGGGTTACCAGAACAAACAGAGAGGATAACTCTCCCTAATAAGGACACAGACAGCAATAAAAACCTGACAGTTGTTCTAATCTCTCAACACTCAATACAAAATAAACAAAACTTGTGTCCTGTACCCATGTGCCCACTACTGTCCCTTTAATTCCTCCTCCCGGGCAGCCGTACTGATGGCAGCGTGCACTGCACATGCGCAGTCCGCAGCGGGGGCGCGCACGCATTCTGTGGATGTCTGTATGCCGCGTGGTGGCCGCGCACAATGGAGTGGCTTGAGCGCAGCTCTGGGCTCGTCCAGTCCCGTCTCCTCGGTGAAGGGCTCCGCAGACACACGGCCCTGGGCCTGGCCTGTGTCACGCTGGGCGGCTCGCTGCTGAAGGAATTCTGGCCGCTGCCGGACTCCTACTTCAACAACAAGAAGAACTTTCTGAACGTGTGAGTAGCAGGGTCACTGGACTCCGGATCGGACGGGTCACGTGCTCAACTAGGCTAAAGAGGGGGGTGTCACGTGGTCGGTGAAGGGGCTCATGTCACGTGGTCAGCTGCTGTCACATTACTCCCTAAGTGAGAACCACATGGCTGCTCTCTTGTTAAATACTTATGGAGGTCCAGTAGCATGGTTTTATGGGAAGAGTAACAACTATGGGGTGCAGTGAGCCTCAAATATTGTTCAGGAGTGTGCCATTATAGCAGTTTGTGTTTTTTCCACAAAAAGACATGCTCTGGAATAGGGTGCTGTAAAAACTTGATCAAAACTCAATACCGGAACACTGTGTATGTGCACGCTCCCCTGAGCGTGGGTTCAGAGCCCTGGGATTAAAGGAAAGGTGGTGGGAACATGGGCATGGGTACTAAAGAGCTTCCTTAACACCCCCATATTTTTTATGTATTTGTTACTGGAAGCTATCATGCAAGCGACAAGACCTCTTACCTGTTGCTTTGAGTCACTTCCTCACTAGTTGGGACAGCGCGGGGTCATACCCCTCATTGCCAGGTTTGTCCATTGAAGTGCGCGTGCTATTTAAGCAATTTGGTCCCATACTTTTACCAGTGACGTTTTCTTGTCTTTGCAGCTATTTTGTCAAGCTTTCCTGGGGCTGGACGTTATCGCTGCTCTTGCCTTTCATCGGACTGACCAATTACATTGTGACTCGGAGCGTCCCGGCCGTTTTTCGCAGGATAAGCACCCTGCTTGTAGGAACCCTAATATGGTACGCCTTTACCAATGTGTTCACGTACATTGAGAACGCCACCGGCAGTTGTCACGTTTCTGAGACGCAGCTACAGAATACCACGGAGCACGGGGACAAGAGAGCGTGCATCAAGAGTGGAGGATTATGGGTGGGATTCGACATCTCCGGCCACTCGTTCCTCCTCCCGTATTGCGTCTTGATGATTTTGGAGGAAGCCGCCATTCTAAGAGATGAGAGGATCAAGAGGCACAGGATGAAGCCGCTCATTCACGCCTTGGTTGTGTCTCTGGGAGTCTTGGGGCTCATTTGGGCTCTCATGTTCTTTTGTACTTCCATCTACTTCCATACTCCTTTGCAAAAAGTATTTGGAACTTTCTTCGGCATCCTGTCCTGGTACATCACGTATAGGTTGTGGTATCTAAAGACGTTTTCTCCTGGACTTCCTCCCACCTCTCCTCCAGGAAAGATCCACAAGAAAGCCAGATAGACCAACACTACATAGTATTATATTTATATAGATTGGCCACAACGGGCCTCTTGGTTCAAGACCATCATATGGAAAGAAAATGAATGCAGCCACCACATCTAATGAGTGGCAAGCTGCAATATATTAGTATTAATATGGATAAAATATATTGATGCCCCTTTTTTGCCCACTGTCTTGTCTGTTCAGAGTGTTTACATCCTGCAGAGCTCCATACACTTTTAGAAGGGGCAGCGGCATGCTTGGAATATAAGATGACAGTCCTTCTTAGAAGATCAACCACCCCCTCACCCACTTAAAAGAGAACTATGGGGTAAGTGTTTTTCCCCATAGTTCTCTTAAGGGTCACGGGAGGACATAAACTAGCTTCACCCCAAGCTCTATATCTCGAGCTACAGCTCGTGGTATACTGAGACCGCCGCAGCCAGGACGGATCCTGACGTTACTGTCGAGATCCACCCAGCTTCATGAGTAACAGCTGGCTCTGCCTATCTAGAGGCAGAGCCAGCTTTACCCTCCCCCGTCCGTTCCGCCAGACAGCGCTGCAGGATCGGACAGGGGAATCCCTGCGTGGAGCGGTGACTGCAGTCACTGCTCTCTGCAGGTAGATGATAGAGAAGTGAGCGAGCGACGTGTGACGGCTCGAACTATGAGGATGAGTCATTTTCACTCACCTCATAGTTCTTTTAAGTTCCGTTTGTCTGCACTCCCCAACCACACCATTCCACTGTCGGAGCCAGAAGCCCAAATCTGTATAAGCTCTATGTAGGATGGTGTCGGAGCTTACACAGGGTTGATGACTTCCTTCCTCCCTCATGTGACAGTTTGGTCATGGCAATTGGCTGATCAGGTCCTGGCACTTCATTTTGGGTAGAAGGGAAGGAGGTCATATGCTTTCCCGTACCTGGAAGTGCTCTGTGTTTCCTGCCCTCACCTACCATACTGTTCTCCTGTCAGAGCCCTGGGTCTAATCCCTGTTGGTTGCCCAGACCTGAGGAGTGCATGCTGGGAGGAAGGGCAGAAGGTCACATGCTGTCCATGCCAGGAATTGCCTAGCATTTCTTAAGGGCTCTGGCAGAAGAAAACGAGGTGGGTTGCAGTGAAGGGTGGTATTGGTGGGTCACCTGTCAAGAGAACCTGCCACTTTGCCCTCAATGGGCAAAATGACAGTCACTTTATACTTCAAGTAGTTAGCTGCCTCTATTGAGATTGTATGGAGAGCCAAAGTACATAAAGACTGCCCATGCACTGGACAGTTTTTGTTTGATCACCAGTTTCCAGTAAGGACCCAGGATGACTGTTTTGCATTGTACATTATTTAAATAATGCTGCAATGTGATTCATCGGTACCGTTATCCTTTAAGCTTGACAATTTTCTCAAAACCATTTCCTGTGGGCCATGCAGACCTCTTTCCAGGGCTTGGACATGAGCAAGCGTCCCTAGTAAAAGTGTCTTGAAAACGTTTTCTATTTTATTCTGAGTAATTATTAATATTTCATTATAATTAACACTTCAAAATACAGCAGACGAGTTCTATATTAATTGATGTATGTCCTGTCATGTCACCAATCTGCTCTGTTTAATCAATGGTTGTAAATGATGCTGCTATGAGAGATGAGTGCATGCTGCACTGTTTGGTACAGACACTAAAGTTGATTGGTAAGAACTTAAAGGGTTACTCCACCTTTCAGACCATGTTTTATGTTATAGTCATGTTAAGGGAGTAAAATGAAGCATGGTCATATCCCCCTTTTATTGTATCGTGGGGTACTTCGCCCCAATCTTGTGTTTTTGAATTTGGTGTGGCTGTAAGTGGCCCAGCCCACACAGCTACATCACTCATCCACAGATCTATTTACAGGATCTGTGGAATAAAATTCTACAAATCCCAGCAGAGAGCCTTGTAAATCTCAGAGGACTACAAGTGCAGTGACATCACCACACTTGTCGTCATGGTCAGTTGCTGCATGCCAGCAAACAGTTGGATTCAAGCTTGTAATGGGTGTCTGCTCTATAAAATGATGGGTGGTAGAGAGGAGGTACATATATGGGATAATGGGGGACCATTAGCAGTGTGGTGGTGATGTATTGCAGACAGGTTGGAGACAGGACCTGTGGCATTGAGTCAGCAGAGCAGCAGATATGGTAAAGTGGTGTCGCCCTTGGGTTTGATCGCAGATGTATGTATATTGCTTTACAAATGTTCTTGTTGATACCGGAGTGAATAAATCCATATGGAATTCAGGAGCCGGTCTATCCAATTCAGCAGGTTTTTGTTTTAGGAGGCAGCTCCTCTGACAACAGCTAGAGAGAGCCTCAAATGTTGGGCGCCGGCTATAAAATTTAGGGCGCATTGCCGACTTGGCTCCTCGGATTTATCCAACCCTGAGTTAACAATGTAAATACATATTGTATCTACCTGTCTGGACGGCATTTCCCCTTCAAAGTCTCATGTTTTTGTGGAACTCTTTATTATTAAATTGTACCATTTTATAACATACCCTTGAGAAATGCCACTCATCTCCTCTGGTTGTTAGACAGCTCCTGGTCTGGCGGTTTGACATGTGTAGATGAGTGTTGGATGCCACCGGAGTCATCCGTAAGCCAGGGGCTTTGTGTCCCCAAGTCACGTGCGGGTAATGTCACCTAGGGTCGCCTTCTCTTTCCTTCCTGGAGATATTAAAAGTCGGATTAGCTACGTCTTGTAGGAAATATGTTTTAGCCCCCATCTGTCTTCTGTGGAGTGGATTGTATGTCCCCTTGTCACTGTGGGTTATGTTACCTCATTATCTTTCTTTACCAGTTGTCAAACAGTACTTGTGACGCTGCCTTGAAACTATAGCACTGCTGTCTTAAGGAAGAGGGTGTTTGTATAGTACCACCTCCATTACAGAGCCAAAGAACAAAAGGGACCATAGATGATGCCAGGCGCGGGTGATGCCGGCAGTGGGAGCGCGGGTGATGCCAGTCAGATCTCCCTGACATCTTTGACTCTGCTCCTGTCCACCTTGGGGTCCCTACCTACCTTTTGTGTGTCAGCTCCTCCGTATACATTGTCCTCCTATGGTAACCTCCTAATATGGACAAATGCAGTGAACACTACACAAGTCACAATAGGCTATGCTGTATGCCCTGTTCTAGTGTGCTATGTGCGTTTTATATTTGCAATATTTGACATTTTGCTGTATGCAGTACATTTTAAACTCATTTACGACCATTTACATGTACAGATATTTATGCAACTGCAAACTACAAGGTTAAAGTGTACCTTTTATTTTGGAGTGAATGCTTTACATTGAAGGTGGTGGATGGAGTCGCTGTTCTTGGTTTCTTTAGCAATGACGTTTTTAGTAGTTTTGTGTGAAAATTCACTGTTATTCCTCTCTGGTGCAGCTAATTGCATTGATTTCAGCAAACTACTGCAGCCTCTTACCTGGGTCTGCTCGGTGCAAGTGAACACATGCATTCCTTTCTAGGTGCTAAGTGGGAAGGGCTGCCCACTATACCCACTTGATCAGCCCCGGTGTTGTAATATGGTGAGGAAAAGCAATGGAAACTTTGGGGGCGCTCTGTATAAAACATTGGCATAAGGACCACTGATTTTTGGAAGCTTTTTATAGAACCCCATAGCTGGCCCTAGACTGAAATAGAAGCAACGTTAAAAATAAAAAGGTGGAACTGTCATTCAGCATGCCTCCTCACTAGGGATAAGCTCAGGTTTGGATCAAATCAGAGTTCATTTGAACATGAAAAAACCTGACAGTGCCGTTCCAAACTGCTGCGGTCGGGGGATTCCTCGTCCCGCATCTGCACGTAAACAAAGGGGTGGGATGCTGGTGACATCATTGACCATATTTAGTCATTGCTCACCCCTAATATGGCCATGTGACCATTTAAGTTCTTTGATATCGCCAGCATCTGATCTGCTTATTTGATGGCGAAAGCCCTGACTGCAGCCAATTGGGCCAGCACTGTCTACTCTTCACTTGTGGCGAGATTACGCCTATAGCAAATGGTGTTGCTTGAGGATACAGGAAGGCTTGACATCGCCCTATTAAATCATGCTAAATCCTTTATAACTGAGGAAAAGCAGAAACAGTACCTACCTCCCAAGGGCTTAGCCACATTAGCAATCATGCAGCTGGTGGGAATTTGTTAGAGACAACTCGCCTGCTCCTACAGTGTCTCCTTCACTGCCTGTAACGCTATAGAGTCTCACTGTGGGGCGACACTGTGATGATTGAGGTGAAGCAGAGTGCCCTCATAGTGACCATGTCACTGAGTCACCACCAGCGGCAGGATAACTACAGTGACATGGCCCTTACCCTCCTCCCTTGCAGCTTATGGTTGGCCTCTGAATGACAGGTGCACCTTTTAGAGCACTTCCAAGGAATGTGTCAAGATAAAAATATAGAACTTGCTGTTGGTTAGTTTTTGTAGGTTATAGAGCCATCACCCTTATCTGTCCTTTAAGACTTAGTGAGGCAAGGACTTAGAGCAAGCTTGCACTTATTAGATAACATCTGTGATTTTGCACATAGTGAAGGAAGGCCAAGGGTGTCTGCAGTGGTAGTGGCCATATTTCTCTCCTAGACCGTCTCTCTTTAATTTGACAGATTCCTGGGTTCTGTATGGGGTACGCTGATCCCCATGTCTCGAATCGGGTTACCCCTGTGAAAGATCGAATGCCGAACTTCAAGCAGGGGCTCGTCCCATGCTCCACAGCCTGTACAAATCCGAAGGAAAAGACTGGCTGCCCTCACATTTCATGACACCTTTCACCCACAAGGTTGGGTCCTCTATGATGAAGCAAGCTTTGTAGGTGAAAGGCATCAGTAGGGGATGCACCAGACAGGGACTTTGTTCATCTTGTCCAGATACAGTTATCAGTGTTTGAATGATCTTTGGCGTTCTTTTCCTTTTGGAAATGAAAAACAGATTCATTGTTGGCAGAAATATAAATGGCACAAATGATGCAACTTAACAGGTCCGGGAATTGAAGGGAGGTCATCCCATGGTGTCAAATCT